TTGCCTGTGTCCAGGGTTTATATTCTGGGTACACTGTAAATCTAAGAATCAATTATAGATGTACTCCTTGTGTTTCCAAGCTCATAGATTTAAACACCCTACTAATGTGGAAAAATCAAAAATAAAAACCTTTTCTCATTAAAAGTATCAAGGTAACAGTATGTGATAACACTGGTTTCCAGCATGCTAGTGTTTTTAAGCTGCCACAAACCAAATAAGATGTTCATAATTATTATTTTTCCAGTTGACATGATATTCATATAGTCAGATTATTGATGAGGTGGTCAAATTCTCCGTTCTGTCCACAAAACCTGGGGGAAACCATGTAGAGTCTTCTGTTTTGGACATAACTTTCTCTTATGTACTTCTTAGAACAGTTTTTGTATTTTAACTTGGTGTTGTGGGGGTTTTTTTATACATACATTCTATAAAGTACAAGGTGATAGTACCTATGGGGGTGTGTGTATATGTAATACTATATGCTACAGGTAGTGCTAATGTAGTTTGTTAACCAAACCAAATGGTATTTGTGTAGGGGGAGAAGGGGACCAAAGAGCTTTCGGTTTCAATAAGACAGCAGTAGATAATGAACTCCATTCAGCAGATGAATAATAGGATTTTAATATTTTGAAGGAAAGATTGTTGGAGCTAGCAGCATAGGTGTCCTTGGGTAGATTTCAAAGACCGACTTACTGTTGAGAAATGGGACTTCTTCAAGGTACAGAGCAGGAGGGCTGTCATTCCAGGTGTAGAGAGCTGAAGGGAAAGAAGTGTGCAAGGTGAAGAGTGGGCAGAACCAGGTGAGATGAGGTGGAAATGAGTCTGAATTGTGCAAAGCCCTGAAGATAAGTTAAAGGATTGTTTATGTTGCCAAGTGCTGGATATATTGCAAAGGAATGTCTGGTACAGTCGGGAACAGGAATTCAGTGCAAGTGTGAGAAAAGTATGCCTTTGGTGGTAGACCGAGGTGGGATTGATTATTTTTTATTTTTTTAACACATTCTGCCTGTTCTGTGTGTTTCACAAGGAATGATCAGAAGCAAGAAACATCTAAATAGGATTCATAAATGATTTGGCATGGTCTGTAATTCATATATGTAATCAGTTTGATTATTATAAAATAATAAAATATAAAATATTTTGGCCCACTTATGAGCTAGAGAGCTCATAAGCCCTTTCTAAATGTTTAAGTGAAGCCATTCATTACCAAACTCTAAGATAAATTATCTGGAGGAATTCCCTCTCCTTGTTTTCATTTCCCTGTTTTTGCCTGTGAACATGGATTTGTTGTATTCGGCCTAACACTGTTATGTCAGTTCCAGTATTCTCTTTCTTCCCGTGACTAATACCTCATGGTATAGCAGAAGTCAAAATTCCTTTATAATGCACTAAGATAATTGTGCAAAGCTGTAGGTGGAGAGGGAAAGGAAGTCTTTCCTGGCCCCTGCAGGAAATCAACTTATGGCCTGAAACATGAAATTGGATAACTCTTCCTTTCTAAACTCCTGTATAATGCCTACATGCACTGATGCCAGGAGGCCCCAGTCAGGACCAGAGGTCCCCACTGTGCTAGGCACTATACAAATATACAGTGGCCCTTGCTCTGAAGACCTTACAGTCTAAACAAATGCCAATAGTATGATTATAATGTAATACTAATAGTTTTTTGCTATTATATGTTCACTATCTCCATCACTTATCAGTCTTCTAAGTCACTCTGAGTGGCAGGAGAAAGTTAGCTAAATAAGGACTATAATGGGAAAAAAACGTTTTATATTACAGGCTTTCAGAGTTTTTGGGCATGTTTGGGGATTGAAAGTATAGAATGGCTAGTATATCATTTACTTTTTATTTTGAAACAGTAATCTGAATTTATATTAGACCTAAACTAACTGCAAAATCTGGTACCCACAGAGGCATAATATATTTTCATCTCAGTGTGGGTTGCTTCAGTTATGCTATCCTGATTTAGTGAATTGTTCAGCTCTGTCCCTGAATATTGAGTATGCACAATAGGAGCCTGATTCTTAATTCATAGGTGTTCCTCTAGTGGAATTATTCCTGATTTATTTTGGTACAAACAAGTACAGAATCAGGCCTTAAACCTTCAAGTTAGAAAGAAAAATGTAAAGTGTAGAATACCTTCTTTGTACTGATGTGGTCCCCTCAAACAGCATTTAATATTGGGCTAGGAAGCCAAGTATTATACTTGCCAATAGGAAAGGATTATAATAATTGGCCATTTATTTTTAAAAATAAAGCATAAAAATTCTTAGTCTACACAGAAAATACAATTTAGTTGACATTAAATAGTCTTTTAAAATATAATAATGTAAAAGCGACAAATTATTCAGCAGAATTGCCTGATTTTAAAAGTCAAAATTGTAGGAAATTTTTCTTGCTATGTTTTAAAGTAAAGCAGGTTTTGAGTTATTTCAACCCATATTTATTTTGCTTAATTTATCAAAGACCAGTCACTTCTGATTTTATTAGCAGATATATTTTTCAGGTTAAAATGTAGCTATAATACATGTTGGTAGAGTGTTCTATGCTATGAAAAAATCCAGCTGCTTACTACTATAAATCATATTAGTGCTTCAGTCAAGTAGTTTTGTCATTTTTTTAATACAAAAGATCAAAATGATAAAATAAATTCTCAAAAAGTTAATGTGTCTAATATTGAACTAATGAGAAGTGAGGGAGGGAGGATAGAACAATGCACAGTCAAATAAATAATTAAATTCTAATACTTCTGTAGGGATCTTTAAAAGATGCATGTAAAAAAAACACTGTCTTCCAAATATCTAGGAAGTTGAAATACTGTGGTAGTTTATCATCTCTTTGTAATGTTTTTCACTTTATTTTTAGTGGTGGTTAGAGTGTATAGTTTAGTTATATTCATCTGTATTTCTGTAAAATGTTACTTTACAGACACTTTGGTAAATCTTACACTCTCTCGCGCGCACACACACACACACACACACACACACACACACACACACACACACACACACACACACTTTGCTATACAAGTGAAGTAGCAGATCAGGAAATGGGTGAAAATGTGAATTAGAAGTAATTAGACATAGCCAAACTACAACAATGAAGTAAATTTTATTCTCTGAGGACTATTTCATCTGAAGACCAGTTATGTTAGGTTAGCTTCAGAAATCTAATTGACTTGCCATTACTTACAGCTTCATATCAATTATTCCCTCAGTGAAAAAAGTGGTCCATTGTAATTCTGACAATTTTTCTCAAAGGGCTACTTGTGTGTAGCCTATGTCACACAAACAGGTGCCAGCGTAGCATTTTGTGAAAATTAGAGGATCTGCAATCAAAAGTGCTGGTTTATATGGTTGTAATCTGGAATTGCCGTAATGGAAAAAGGAGTTGTGAACACATGTGTATGAATGGAGTCATTCCACAGTTAACAAGAGATTTATGACTGAAGAAATCGCTACAGAACAGCAAGTGGTAGAGATTGTGTTTTTATTTTAATATGAGAGCCAAGTCTTGCATTAGGACATTGTTGAATATAGCACAGAAAATAAATGACACCCAAGGGATAGTGTAGCATTCTGTTAGATTGAAGGGCCTTTAATAATCCGATAGTCTAATAGCAGTTAAAATAGAGAATGTATAAGAGCTAATCTTGTCTTCTGCTTTTATAATAACTTATGTATGGTAACAAGAAGCAGTTATGATGTGTTGGCACTAACTTTTAGCGGATGACTTTTTAAATTAAAGATAAGTTTGCTGAGTGACTTTTTGGAATTTATTTAATGAAGGCTCATAAAATATGATACCTGTTTACAGCTGGATTAACAGCACCAGACTCTACCAGTAGTCTGCGTCTCCCTACTCTAGACATCCGTTACCAAGCAGATATAAAACTCACATTTTTTCCAATCTTTTTTAGAGGTTACAAATTAATTGGGAAAAAATGTATAATTTTTTTTCACATGGACCTGCTTTTATTTAGTCAATTATTTTAATCATGATCAACAAGAAAACATTAGTGCATTCCTACTTACTGTAAACTGTTGGATATGCTTCAGATACACAAAGAAAGAGTCTGCCTTTTCATGTGTAAATTATACAGTTATTTTAAATTAACAGTTGACAATGTTAGTGGTTGGAATACATTGCAATGTGTTTCTTTCCCTGGAAAAAGCCAATATACATATAAATTCAAATCCCTTCTGTGTCTCTGTGTAGAAGATGTTTGGGTTTTGTAGAATAGAAAAAAAATAATGCATTATTGCATTTTAGTCAATTCTTCCATTTGGGGCATGGAGATGGTTATGGTGTTTGTGAAATAAATCTGTGCTTTTCTTACTTGGAAACAAAATTTATGAATGACTTGCTAAACAGCAAGTGTATTTTAGCCTGTGCTATAGCTTTTTCTTTAAGCAACCAGTTATGGAACTGGTAAGTAGATGGATTTGGTGTATAAATGTACACTAGATGGCAGTTTTGTCATATCTTCCAACTTCAAATAGTTCTGTAGTAGAACAGGAAAGGCCATCAGTGTTTAGTCTGCACTCAAAGGGTCTCTGCATGACCAATGTGGACCCCATGGACTTCCTGGAACATGTGTTAGCAATTTAGCAGCAGACATTTATTTCTTTGTTTTACTGCTTGGCTCTTTGAGAAAGTGTTGGTGCTAGGTTATGGGCTGTCTGGATCATGTCAGAGGCCATGGGGATCAAGTTCATGTGACAGGCCAGACTAAGGAAGGATGAAGTTGGAGGAGGTGAGGAAACTGACCCTTACTTTCAACAGCAACAAGTCACTGCCTGTCTGTGGAGTGAAGCCAAAAGCCTGGGCGTTTTAGTTCTAATACAGCTGAACAAACAAAACACTTTGCCCATTTGGCTTTTTCATATTTCATCAACAGTAGTTCAATCAAAGCCTTTTCTATTTCTTAAGAAGAGGTCCTTATTCTTCATCTCTCTCTCTGCTTTTTTTTTTTTTTTTTTAATTCTTACTCCTAGCCCCATCCAGACGAGGTGACCTCGAAATCCTGGGCTACTGCATGCTGCAATGGTTATGTGGGAAGCTACCCTGGGAGCAGAACCTGAAGGACCCTGTAGCTGTCCAGACTGAGAAAATAAAGTAAAAAATAAATAAATAAATAAATAAATATTTCCATCATTACCAAAACAGGTCTGAAAGGGAACTTCAAAAAGAGTTCACAGCCTGGAGACTATTACCTTACATGAAAACTGAAACAACTTTCCTTAATTAAGATGCATGCTAGAAAGTTCTTAAAAGATGTGAGCTCTGTGCATATGTGTATCACGTGCACCTATTTATGTATGCACAAATACATGGAGATTTGATGTACACAGACTAAGGTTGTGCATTTTTTTGGCATACCTTTTTGACTTCTTGGTTATTTAAAAGGCTACATTTGCAAATCAGTATGTCTGTAAGCTATGTGATCGGAATGATACTGTTAAAATATGTACTGCTTTGCAGAGACCAAAATGTACATTATGAAAGTTTTCCATATATTTTTCATGTTGATACATTCCCTTTCTTCCATTTTCAGTTGTGTAATTATTATTTTTTGACAACAAATAAATCTTCTGGTTTAGATTTTTAGTGCTACATAAGCCTACTGCCATAGAAACATTTTAAATACCCTAATACTAAAACCTTAGTTGAATTTTTTTTTCCCCCTCAGCATGACTAATTAGAGCATACTAAAGCAACAGTGTGTTGCCATTTTTTTTGGTGTTCTCACTGAAGGGACTTGAGAGAGTTAATTGCATGTGGTACAATATAGCCTGTACAAGGATATACAGAACAGCAGTTATCCATAGATATAGCATCACAATTGGAGAAGGCAGCAAACTTTTAAGTAGGGCAAGTCACAACAGAGGTACACAATAGGGATAGCTGATCCACAAAAATCAATCTGCAAATTCAGTGTGGCATCAGCTCTCAACAGAGAAAAAGGTTAGCCTGCAGACGGTGGATAATACAGATTGCATCTGTAAATGTTGACATCGTACGTTATGTTTAATATTTCTCCTTTAGAAGTTCTGATCATTACAGAACCCCCTGCAAACTAGCACTTACACAATTCAATGTTAAATCAATTTAATCAATCAAGCTGCTTCACTAATTTTGCACTTGCAGTTAACTCTGAGAGTGCTGGTATTTTTCCAGTGTGCCATCCCAATGAATGCTTAGAAGAAAATACAAAAATGGTACAGTTCTGTTGAGCAGAATTTTTCTCTTATTTGTACAACTGGAATGAAATGAGTGCCTCAGTAGCTCCCTTAATTGTCTCTGATTTTCTGTCCCTGTAATGTTTTAGATAGCCTGTATGTATACACATAGGTTTCCATTTATGAGCATTGTGTGTATGTGTTCTGGGGGTGTGGGAACCTGCCCCTTTTAACTCAGATGCTCTTGTAGTAGAACCAGATCTGTCCTATTGAGGAAGACTGGGAGACCTGGATGTCAGGGAGCTGTTGACAAGGGGACAAGGCTTGGGATCCTACTTTTGCAAAGACCATGCCATTCTTTTATCTTCCCCTATTTCTCTAGTCACATAGCACTGGATTTTTCTTGTCCCTAACTCAGAAGAATAGAGCTGTTCCCCAAACCCTAAGACTAGCCAATTTATAAGTATCTTACCCAGTGGGCACCCAGTAACCGGCAGCGGTCATTTATGACCCTACTCCGCAGTAGCAATGAGCTACTGCACAGTAGCAGTGGTGACACAGTTAGTGCACGCTGACACTATATTGCCATAGCGTTTCATGTAGACATGCCCAGTATGTGTCAGTCCAGGCACTAAGGTAGCTATTGCAGAGAAGTTTTTCAGCCCTGCCAGGAGCAGGAGCAGGGGCTTTTGTCTCTAGCCTCAGGGAATTTTAGCCAATGCCGTTTTTTTCCTTTTTCCTTGGTTTTTTTTATAACATGCCATATTTTAACTCCTTATATCTCCATCAGTATGAGTCACCTTGGTATGCCTTTGTGTTTCATCAAACTACATTTTTGCCAGCTGCAAACTTTTAAAGACAAAATTGGTTTCAAGTTGTCAGATGACAAATAAAAGTATCTGAAAGGTTTACATTAAAGGAAAACTCTGGTATAACATAACAGATCTTTTAATTGTGACTCATAATTACAAGTGGTGAAACAGCAGTTAACTGAAACAGAAAAATATTTAACAGTCAAAAAAAGGCAATGGTGCAGTGGCTGCCTTATGAGGTATATTAAGCTAAGGGAATGCAGGTCCCCTGAGAAAGCATAGAGTTTCAAAGTGCAAGTTTGTGGAAATTTCCCTTAATTTACTTCAGAATCTCCAGTTTCTGATGCTGCTTAATCAGATCTAAAATCTCTTAAGCCACAAGACAGGCCATGCCAGGTGACTGTTCTTGGCCCTTAACATAGAGAATGTTGCACAGGGATGAGTATTTGGAAAGTTTATTTTTAAAGACATACTGGCCGCATCTATGCATGCACTTTACTGCTGAGTAGACTAATTAGCTATGGAGTAAAGTGTCACCTTCTACATGTGTGTTGGTATTAGGCCACAGTAAACTAATTTATGTCGGTCAGCATAAGATAGTACTGTTGAGAGAGTACTATTTTATACTGGGGTAATTTACTGTGATTAAATGCATGCTGACCACAGGTGTAAACTGTGCTGGGTCAGCCCAGCCAGCCAGGAGCCAGACTCCTGCCTATCCACACAGCTCCACACTTTCAGCACCCTCATGCCCCAGCCAGCCTTTTTGCTGCCCAAAGCTGCCACCCAGAGCCTGGGGCTGACCCTCCCTGCCCACCCCCACTCCCATGCCCCCTGCCAGCTTGGGCCTGTTCCACATTGGTTCAAATTTCTGCTGCCTTAGGTGCATATGTAGACACTGTGCCTGGAAACAGCTTACTCTGGCTCAAATTGTTGTGGAGTTTATTGCTTCACAATTGCATATGTAGATGCAACCACTGTGTCGTAAAATATCTATTGAAAACCTGCCCTTCCATCTCCCATTTGGCACCAAATGTGATGGAGTTTGTGCAGACAGCTCTTCAGAAGAGCTTTCCAGGGCCTCAGACCTTCTGCATGCTAGGCAGTTCTGCTTTGCAGTGTCTCTCCGCTGTCACAGCAGCTAGGTTTTGAGGTATGACACAGCCATAATATCTAATGCTCTGCAGATCTACATGGCTAATCCCCCTCTACCAAAGGACAACCTTGGCTGTTGTTAAGACCTTTATGAAGCCATTACATACCAAATTATTAGTTTGAATAGGAGTGATCCCTTTGTGTTTTCTGAGTCAAACTGATCTATCCTTATCCTCAAACCATGGAGTGCATCCACTGTGTTTCATTCAAAGCAGGACAGTGCAGGTTTTGAAGTTAAAAAGCAATTTTTCCCCTTGTGTAGAGTTTGCTTCTGTTGGGTCTCCCCACAGGCCAGGGAAATAGGGCCATGAAGTGCAGGTATTCCTGCTTCCTCTCCGCCTTCTCCAGAGCTGTGAATGCGTTAAGATCTTGAATGCTATAGTAATGACTGTGGAGCAGGGGTGGGCTGGATGCGGCCCTCCAGGCCATTCTATCTGGCCTGCAGGGCCCCTAAAAAATTTAGAAAATTAATATTTATCTGCCCCAGGCTGCCTGTCATGTGGCCCTCGATAGCTTGCCAAAATTCAGTAAGTGGCTGATGGCATCCATGTTGTGCATTACTCTGACCTAATTACTGGGGATGTGAAAAATGAACCAACACATGTTTAAAAATGCAGAGAATTGTGGCAGAATAACATGACTTCATGTAAGGAAAGACTGAAGTCATGAGGCTCACCTAGAACAAGGAACAATATATAGTTATAGTCATGCTCAGGAACGAGGGAAGGCATAAATTATCTTCATCCTCCCTTTTTTTTTTAGGATGAATCTTGTTTTTAGTTCCTTCTCACTTGGTCAGCTGTACCGACTGGCAAGTAGAAAGTCTAGCCATGGCTCTGTCTCTTTATTTGTTACAAGGCAGATGAGGCATGCACTGCTTTCCCCCACTACACATGTAGTTGTAACACTGGTGGCCATAGCACAGCTGTCCCTATTCACCTGTGTTATGTCTAGGAAGAATCTGGTGCTAAATGATGACAGAAACAGATCCATAGCTGCTCCCAACTTTCAAAACCACAGGAATTTTTAGGCTGAGCGCCAAGTGATAAATTTAAACCCAAGGGATTTATTTCCCCTCTGGCAAGTTTATAATCATTTTCAAAGAGTGAAGGTGCTTACCTGGCCACAGGTATAATTTTGCTTACATCTGTGGCTTCCAAATGGTTACAAATATAGTGGGTAGGCAAAGTTTTTGATAGAGGAATTGTGAATCCCAGATGTCTGTGCCATTTGAAATGGAGTCTTGCTGTCTCCAAGAACTCCAAATAAAGGATCACCCGCTCAAAGCCTGCGTTAAACTTGTTGCATTCTTGTGTTTCAGGCTTATGGATGAGCTCCCACATTCAGTGATGAAGTTGGCTCCTCCTGGAAGCAGCTGTAGTAAGCATGATTACAGAAATATGGTGTGGTGTATAAGTCTAGTTTATTCTATTTGGGATTAAGACTGTTAAATATGTTTATAACATTTTTGGAGGCAGAAAAGCAAAGTAAATGCAGTGAAACCTGAACTGTAAAATATTAAGCTGAATTACCAGCTCTGCAACACCTAAGAAAAATGCATTCAGCAATGTGCCAATTTATCGTCTTGGGGTTTGACCCCCAAAAGTATGACACTTAGGCACAACAGTTGCCATGTGCAGTCACCTTTAGTTATTCCTGCCATACCAAACTTTGCAGGTTCAGTATCTACATCACAAATACTCTACCAGCCATCAGAGCGAGTTTGAGCAAGACTAGCAGGTAAGAACAGGCTAGGCAGTGTATAGCATTCCTTTGTATATCAGATGTGTCCCCCTGTATTATTAGGCAAGTTTGGTTGGAAATGTGACTAAGATTCCCACCCTTTTGTCATTTCCTCTGTCAGTTTCTAGTACTGTTTCCCCCCAGCTATTGTTTTAGTTGCTTCCTACTTACCTTTTTCTCTTTCCAATCCTTTTCTTTGTTCTTTCCCCATTTCCTTCTCTCTGTTCATGCCCTCAGTTTATCAGTCACTCCACTTTCTCCACTTCCATATTCTCAATTTATTTCTTCGTTTACAATTCCCTGCAACTCCCATGTTTTACCTCCATTTAGTAACAGGAAATTATTCTTGATGAAAAGGTTGCTGCATTAGCACCTTTCATGAAACAAAAGGTTTGCTGCTCTTTCCTCGCTTTTTGAGCTGTGTTGTTGGAAGCACTTTGTTCTTTCCCATAGACAGAAGAGGAGTAGGAGCCAGGTAACAGGTAATCGTGTGTGTGTGTGTGTGTGTGTGTGTGTGTGTAAAATATGAGTAGTGTTGCATGGGAGGCTAATTTTTTTTAATTGCTTATGTAAAGCTAGTGGCTGAGTGATGTAACTCTTGATTTGCCCTGGTGCAGCAAAGAACTGGACCCAGTGCATTTGTAAGTGCATCTGTTCCAGGTTGATAACAATCACTATTAAACAACTGTTCTTTTAACTTCTGTGCATATTCTAGTAATACTTCACCAGTAATAAGGCATGATTCAACACCCAGTATATTCAGTTAAAGTTTTCCATTGACTTCAGTGCAACTGGATAAGACCAATAATTTACAGAAGCATTTGTTTAAAACCTGTGGCTTGCAGGTTTGCTTACTCAAAGGGAGGGTTGAACTGGTGCTGCTCACAGCATTTGTGCATTCCAGCTGGACACTCCTAGAATTAGGGTGTCAGATCAGCCCTTAAGACTATTATTGTAGATGTCCTTCTTGGACAGGAAGATTTTGTTGTGTTATGCTAAAATGATGGAAATAGGAGATTGAAATGCAGCTTATAAATAAAGGGATGGCTTAAAATCTGTTAGCAGGATAAAAGAGGACAGCAGGGTAGGTGACAGATCTTGTTCTTTATCAAGATATCTTATCTTTCTGCTTCCTTTCCCCATTATCCCATAAAATAAAAATTAAGTAGATGATATATCAATGAAAGACTTGATTTTCAGCAATGGCCTACAATTTTATGGGTGTACCTGATAGCAGAGAGACTTGCATCACCAATGAGAGAGATAAGCTAGGTAGCATAACATCCGAATGCTATGAATTGCACCTAGAATTTCTTCATTGTAATTGCAAAATTAAAGGCCGCATTGAGTCCCAGCTAAAAATCAGGCCATAAGCTATAACTGTTAAGCTCAGCTTGAAATCTTTTGTTTAGCCTGAAAAGACTGTCTCTGTTATTGTCAAAGATGTTTAAAGCCAAACCAGAATTCCAGAGAAGCAAACTTCCAGTCCAAAGCCTTGCCCTGCATGACTTTCTGAACATAAACACTATGAACTTTATTCTTTGACATTTTGGTAGTTTCGTTTATTAAATAGGAATACTATCCCTCCAGGACACAGTTATGGCTAATGATTCAGAACAAGGGCGGCCAGCCAGTAGCACATGCTGCAGATGGCATGGGCAGCCTCTCTCTGTGGCACACAGCACTGAGGATGGGGCAGGTAAGACAACAGCAGACAGGGCAGGGAGCAGAAGTCTGAAGATCAGATCAGGCAGGCTGCAGAGGGCAGGGAGCAGAAACCGGAGCAGAATATGAGGCAGGGAGAGGGGATCAGAGTGGCACTTTGGGATGGCATGTGGTTTAATTTGTGGCATACCTGCCAAAATGGTTGGCTACCAGTCCATGGGCCAGATCCAGCCTGCTCTGCAGTGCTTTCAGATCGGGCCTGGAGACCTTGTGCTGCACTAGTCAGCCACCTGAGGCTCCAGTAAAAGGGGAGCTCTGCCTGTGCCATGCCACGCCACAGTTGGGAGGTATGGGCTCTGGTGAAGGGGAGCTTTGCCATACTACATTGTTCCCTGGGGAGAAATGGTGGCAGAGGCTGCGCTCTACTGCCTGCCTGCCTTCTGACCTGAGCTGGGTCATTCCAGTCCCTCCCCCTCCAGAAAATGTTGTCGACCCCTGACTTCAGGCATCTTAGCCACATGCAGTCTAGGGTATTAGAAATGCTGCAAGGGTTTTAAGTACTGTAAGTACTGTTAGGATAGAAATGTAAGCAGGAGTTGACAGAGAATTTTTTATGCCTTAGCTGCTTCAAGCTCTCAGAATTCTCATTCATATGTGGTTTTGGTTGTACTGTACTTTTTAATGGAGTTTGTATACAAGTAACCCAAAAAGGAACCTCTTGATTTGGGGCAAATTCTCATTGAGAGAGGTTTAGTAAGTATTCTTGAGCTGTTTACTTATGCTGCTTATTTCCACCAAATTCCCAAACGTAGCAGATACGACTGGAAGAGTGTTTATATACTCTGTGAAGCTGTCTTAACATCTTTACACCACGGGTCAAAAAGGACTCATGTTACTATCTACTGTGACAATTTAATTTTAGGATTATAGTAAAACATTCAATAATAAGAGAAGCTTGTTTGTTTCCCTGTATGTACCCTATAGTAGTATTACCAGATTGCTGAAGGCGTTGGTATCCCTTGAGGTACCATCTGGTGGCAGTGGCAAAACAGTGTAGTTGGTGGGTTACACTGTTAAAGACCCAGTCCCAATAAAATCAGTGGTTCTATAATGGTTTTCAGGATGTCTGCATAGTGCATAGTTTGTCAGATAACTTTAAATCCAAGCTTTTTTCTCTGTTTTTTAAATGCTCAAAATGTAATGCATTTATGTACACTAGTACTAAATACACAACAATAGCATTTTAAAGGTCCTGTTATGATCTAGCAAATTTCAAAATATTTCTAGATGCTAAATAATTATTAATGATTTTGAACAAACATGTATTTAACTTATGCATTGATACTGAACAAAGAGCAATAGGGGCACCGAGTACTTTTTTCTTACCCCGAGAATGAAGTATTCTTTTATTTCAGTATTTTTCTGTCTTTTAGATATTGCCTTTGGTCCTGTTTTATCTATGTGGTGGTTCACATTGTTTTGTCATTTGCTTGGCAGTGGGGCTGGGCGTGGGCAGCTTGAATTTAAAGGTTTTCCAAAGTTTGAAAACTCCATCAGATGAAACACACACTTAAAATACCCTTCACAGGTGAAATAGCCAAGTTTTTGGCATGCGTTTATGATTTAGCTTATGATGAAAAGCCAAAGTATGAGGTGCTAAAGAAAATCCTGGTGGATGGACTTGAGTCAAGTGGAAGGTACTATGATGGCCCTCTGGAAATTTCCACTGCTAAACGCACACGAAGTCAGCCTGCTTCTAAAGGTCTAAAAGTAAGTAATGCAGTTCTGTGATTATTTTCTGAAACCTACTATTTGATAGTTGCTTTTTCTTTTGTAAAAGAGGAAACAGTTTAATATCTCAAAATGAGACTGACACAGCAGTTCTGTTGCCTTAAATACATCACATTTGTTAATTCCTGTTTCCCCTGGCTTTGCTAAAAAGTGGGATGTCAACCCTTAAGGAGGAAAAACTGTCACGAGTCCTTTTGACCTACAGCCTCTCACTTCAAAGTAGTAGGTCTGTGGAGAATCATTTACTTTCAGGATAATGGGGAAGTCAAGGACTTTGTTCGCTAACATCTTGAAGGCAAGTTTGAATGCCAGGTTTTTCTTTTTGGCCAGATTAAAAGCAAAGTTGCTTTTTCTTAGTAAAAACATTTAATTCACTTTCTCTCCCTCAAACTTGTGTCATTTGCCTTTGCATTCCTCCAGCCACCAGTCTGGGTGGGATGCTATTCTGAGACTTAAATAGCTTATTTGTATGCAGTGCTATATGATGCTCTTTCTAGCACAAAGTTTAAAACTGACAGCTATCATGTTTATATATTTTTCCTTTGTATTTTTAAGTCTGAATCTATACAGTTAATAAAACCTTTTATGTTTTAATAAACTTGGGACCAGTGCAATTAGTGGTCTTACTGGACATAATATGAAATATCATTCCTACAGTCTATCTCCCTTTAAAATACACATATGCAAAAGCTCTATTTCTTCTCTGATGGGTGTGTAATAAGTTAGGGTCAGGGTACCATTCATTTTTAATATTTTTTGTGAACTTTGGACCATCGTAAGTGTACATGAGCCAAGAATGCAGGATGCAAACTAATGTGACTGATAGGCTGCTAGATGAATGGTGATTCAAGTATCAGTGCACAGATGGTTCTGATTTGCTGAGTTTTGTAGCTGCTGCAACTGAAGACATAAAATATCTTTCTAGTCATAAATTAGCTCTTTGGAAGCAAAACCTTGGCACCAGAGCTTTACAACCTTCAATTAGTAGGGA